GCCGGCGGCGAGCGCCGTGGCAAGGCACCCACGGGCTGCGCGTCTGGACCCGCAGCCGCGGGAATCAAGAAGCCAAAGGCCATGAGGAAGTTGAGCTTTGCCGATGAGGTGACCACATCCCCTGTCCTGGGCCTGAAGATCAAGGAGGAGGAGCCCGGAGCGCCGTCTCGGGGCTTGGGGGGCAGCCGCACGCCGCTGGGCGAGTTCATCTGCCAGCTGTGCAAGGAGCAGTACGCAGACCCCTTCGCGCTGGCCCAGCACCGCTGCTCCCGCATCGTGCGCGTAGAGTACCGTTGCCCTGAGTGCGACAAGGTGTTCAGCTGTCCTGCGAACCTGGCCTCCCATCGCCGCTGGCATAAGCCGCGTCCCGCGGCTGCAAACGCCGCCACAGTCTCCTCCGCCGACGGGAAGCCGCCTTCGTCGTCTTCGGCCTCCCGGGACTCCGGGGCCATTGCATCTTTTCTGGAGGAGGGAAAGGAGAACAGCCGGATAGAGCGGACTGCGGATCAGCACCCGCAGGCCAGGGACAGCTCCGGGACGGATCAGCACCTGGACAGCGCCCCGAGGCAGGGCCTCCAGGTGCTGACGCATCCAGAGCCACCGCTGCCACAGGGCCCCTACACGGAGGGGGTGTTCGGGCGCCGGGTGCCTGTGCCGGGAAGTACCAGTGGTGGCGGGGGATCCGAAATTTTCGTGTGCCCATATTGCCACAAAAAGTTCCGTCGCCAAGCCTATCTGCGCAAGCACCTGAGCACTCACGAGGCGGGCTCGGTCCGTGCGCTAGCGCCGGGCTTTGGCTCTGAACGCGCTGCCCCACTTGCCTTCGCTTGCCCGTTGTGCGGAGCGCACTTCCCTACCGCAGATATCAGGGAGAAGCACCGGCTGTGGCATGCTGTCCGCGAGGAGCTGCTCCTGCCCGCTCTGGCGGGGGCTCCTTCCGAAACGCCAGGCCCTAGCGGGCCATCTGACGGGAGTGCCCAGCAAATTTTCTCGTGCAAGCACTGCCCGTCCACTTTTTTTAGTTCTCCGGGGCTGACCCGGCACATCAATAAGTGCCACCCCTCAGAAAGCCGGCAAGTGCTGCTGCTGCAGATGCCACTGCGGCCTGGCTGCTGAGGGACGAAAGAAAGGATGATTTCGAGGTTGGCCTTAGAGGAAACAGATCATGGGAATTTCTGTGGGGCTTTCTTCAACTTGCAAGTTTACTTTCATTCCTTCCTATGTTTCTCCCTCCTAAAATTCTCCCTGTAGTCAATGTTCTACCAGAGGAGCAGACAGTGAAATGTAATATCCCTTTCTAGAGCAGGTATGTATATGGTACAAACCTTGAGATCAAAGACTGTCAGCTTTAAATCCTTCTCACTTTCCCCACTAAAATAGGATTTTTCCCCCTTAAAACTCTGGAGACCCTAACGAATCCTATATGATTTGTAATTCCTATGGAAAGTTGCGGTGAATGAGTGCATGTCTCAGTGTCCACAAAGGGTTCTGGCTACCCTTTGGGAGTCACCAATGTTTTTTTCCTCTTGTCATCACAGGCGCCTATGCAGCTTCTGTCTCAATAGGATCAGATATTTTGCACTGTATCTGTGAATTAAAAGTTATGTGACTGGTGCCAAACTTAAGGAGATTCAAGACCTGGCAGAAAATGTAAGAGGATGTTTGCTGCTTTTGGGGTGCGTGGGGATCTCCCCCGTAAACTTTCCTTTGCCCAATTATATGTACATGTCCATTCTTAAGTTGGTGTTTGGAGGTGGGGAGGATGCTACTTTACTGGAGTTGAGACACCCCCTAAAATTCTCAGCTATTTTGTGTGCAGTATTCAGGAAGAGCTACTTCAAACCTTTCTTTAAATGGCTTTTTGGAAATACAGAAGTCGTTTCCTCAAGTTTGACTGTTTTAATGGGGTTTCACCCAAATTGTTTAATGCTTCTGCTGTAAATCTCATACCGTGTATTCATTATGAAAATATGTACAGCTTAAGGAAGATGTTAACACCTATAATCCACTAGGGAACTGAATGGCAATTTGCTCAATATTCAGTATTTTCTTTTCAGCAGCAACTTTTGATTTTTTAAAAAAAACCATTTCAGTGTACATTCTGTACTAATTCCTTAATAGCCAGAGTTGGGACACTGGCTGAGCACTGCTTGACAGAAAGCCCATATTTGTAAGACGCTTACCACCAAATAAATGTACATAGTCTGTGCTTTTGTTGTGTTCTGTGTTTGTCTTAAGAATCCTGTTGAACACAGCCTATTTTCAAAGTCACATTTCTTATCTACCCAATGTCGCTATCCTGTTTTAGAATGTTAGTGACCCATTTGGACAGAATACAAAGACGGAAATATTTTGCAAATGAATGTAATGGTGCAGGAATGCAATGAAAAATCTTCCTTTGAAGTATGGCTGCAAAGACTGAGCTCCAAAAGGCAAGGAATATGCACTAGTCTTTAAATCTACAAAAGACATCCCCCCAAGAAATGTCGACAGAAAATATATTTTAAGTATGTATATATATTTCAAACTAGTGAACAGTGTTACTTGAAGATGAAAAAAAGTATTTTAATAGTGCTAATTAATTTCACTATTTCAGGTTTGTATTTTTACTCCATATTGTTATGTATCATCAATCCATTAATTTTTTTATAGCACTTTAGAAACATGTATGCAGTTACTCTGATTTTCCTTTTTGTAATTCTTCACCTTGGCTGCAGGAAATTGTTTATATTGTTCAATCTTCTTCCCAAGGACTCTATCCATTTGTTTATCTTCTACATCAGCGTACATAGGACTTTTAGTTTTCATTTGTAAGAAAACAAAAAATTGAGTGCACAGAAGTTCTGAAAGGTTGTCTTAGAAAACTTGTCAGTACAAAGTTTTATTGCTGAAAGTATATTATAAAACAAAGTAAAATTTAAGAATCAAAAAAACATGAAGCTGTAATCCCAGCACTTTGGGAGGCCAAGGCGGTCGGAT